ACAGCTAGAGGACTGCATCTCCCACAGGAGGATTTAGTGGCCTCATAGGAGACTGATGAGGTTTTTTTTTTCCCACCACGCTTCTGTGAATGTGTTTTATCTTTGTGTGTCAGAATAAAAGTACCTTGCTTATTGCACTTAAGCACCTCCTCTCTCTCTGGACATTCAATGGCAGCCTGTGAGCATTGAATTCATAATAAACGTACAGTTGTGTTCAAAATATTAGCAGTGTGTTAAAAAAAAGTGAATAAAGCTCAAAATCCTTCTAATAGCTTTTATTTCCATACACACAAATGCATTGGGAACACGACACATTCTATTCCAAATCAAAACATGAAGAAAAATATATCAAATTTGTGTTGTTCCTCTAAAACAATTTAAGAAAAGTGAATATTAGACTGTTCAAAAAAATAGCAGTGTTTGTATTCTTCTTTACAAACTCAAACATTCACTATATAAACTGAAAAATGTTTGAATATTTTGCTTTCCTTTGAATCATTTAATGAATATTTGGTTGTAGTCGCACTGTTTCTGAGAACTGCTGTACATCTGTGTTGCATGGAGTCACCCAACTTCTGGCCCCTGTGATCCGGTATTCCAGCCCAGGATGATTGGACTACATTCCACAGTTCTTCTCTATTTCTTGGTTTTGCCTCAAATGGCATTTTTGATGTCACCCCACAAGTTTTCTATTGGATTAAGATCCGGGGATTGGGCTGGCCACTCCATAACGTCAATCTTGTTGGTCTGGAACCAAGATGTTGCACGTTTACTGGTGTGTTTGGGGTCGTTGTCTTGTTGGAACATCCATTTCAAGGGCATTTCCTCTTCAGCATAAGGCAGCACGACCTCTTCAAGTATTCTGATGTATTCAAACTGATCCATGATCCCTGATATGCGATAAATAGGTCCAACACCTGTAGTATGAGAAACATCCCCATATCATGATGCTTGCACCACCATGCTTCACTGTCTTCACAGTGTACTATGGCTTGAATTCAGTGTTTGGGGGTCGTCTGACAAACTGTCTCCGGCCACTAGACCCAAAAAGAACAATCTTACTTTCATCAGTCCACAAAATGTTGCGCCATTTCTCTTTAGGCCAGTCAATGTGCTCTTTGGCAAATTGTAACCTCTTCAGCACGTCTTTTTTTTCAACAGTGGGACTTTGCGGGGGCTTCTTGCAGATAGCTTGGCTTCACATAGGCGTCTTCTAATTGTAACAGTACTCACAGGGAACTTTACACCTTCTTTCATCTTCCTGGAGCTGATTGTTGGCTGAGTCCTTGCCATTTTGGCTATTCTTCTATCCATTCAAATGGTAGTTTTTCACTTTCTTCCACATCTTTCAGGTTTTGGTTGCCATTTTAAAGCATTTGCGATCATTTTAGCTGCATTTTCTGCACTTCTTTATGTTTTCCCCTCTCCAATCAACTTTTTAATCAAGGTACGCTGTTCTTCTGAACAATGTCTGGAACGACCCATTTTCCTCAGAATTTCAGAGAGAAATGCATTGTAACCAGCATGTACAACATTTGCTGCCTTCCTTCCTTAAATAAGGGCAATAATTGCCACCTGTTTTTCAAAGAATGAATGACCTCACTAATAGAACTCCACACTGCTATTATTTTGAACATTCCCCTTTCAATTAGTGATTCAATTACACAGAATCAGCAGCATGCATGTCATGTCTGTTGGATTTCTATTACTCTACTACACCTGCTAGTAAATTATTTGCCATGTAGAAATATTTCTACCAAAAACAGTGATTGATCAGGTTAGTGATGTCTGACTGCTATTATTTTGAACACAACTGTACATACCGCTACATCATGGCACCAGCCAAATCTTTCTGGCCCCTGCCCAGCAGAACAGGAAATAAAGTGCTTAAACCAATATTTCAGGTATTTGGCTTTTTTGTCGCAATGTATTAAAGGTTTCAATGATGTAAAGTGTATATTTTGTGATTGCCTATTAGTTGCAATCTTCACAGACTTTAAACATTTTCCAGATTCTGAACAAGCAGTTTAGTGTGCTTGATCGGGACACAGGTACACTTTCATGTCCTAGTCCATAACCAATACTTGCCATCTGGCCAGAACAGTTTACAGCATGAATGCGAAGATCTCATTGGCTGTTTTTTGTGACGATTTAAACTCCTGTCATCTTGGCTGGCTGTTTTGTAAAGTTTTTTTAAAACTTTCTGTAATCCATGCTATATATGTTGCTGTATATGAAATAAAAAGTTCTGATTATTATGTCATTTTTCTTCTTATTTCCAGTCTTCATACACCTGGACTACAGAGTATAGTGACAAATCACTAGCACACAACACATTTCCAGCATTATTTACGAAATTTATTCTTTTTATAAATTAAGGTTTGCCTCTGTAGATTGGACATGGATCCATATATTGCACATCAGCTTAGCATGGTGCCACTGGACAAAGTACAAGAGGAGAAGTACAACAGCCGTACAGCATGCACCCAAAACTGGGATGGCACTTCTCAGCTGCTGGTACACACAACGGTGCTAAATGCAACAACATGATCTGGTAGACAGGCAAGGAGTACTTCTAATGCTGGGAACATGGGGGATGCCCTGTCCAATCAGGCTGAGTGACAAGGGCCCCAGTTTGTTTGATTGGCCTTTATCTCGCCTAGCTGCAGCAGAACAGTCACACTCTCACTACAGAAACTGTAACTGAAGTTTCCTAAAATTGCTGATTATACTTACCTCTCCAGCAGCCAGGAGTCCCCTACCTTCTCTCTGCTCCTGATGCGCACTGATTCCTTACTCCCCACCCTCTCAATCACTAGTCTTCTAGTGATTATAGATAAGGCTGGGCATCCTACAAACTCACTTTTTTTTTTTCTACCCCCATGAGCTGCGGCTTGGTCACCCCCACCCCACTGCTTACATAAACAAAGAGGTGGGCTGCAGGGCAGGAATGACCCACAGTTCACTAAGAGGGGGGAGGGGGGGGGCCCCGGGCAGTTTAAGTGATAATGTGCTAGTACACAGTGCATACTAGCACATTATGACAGACTTACCTGAAAAAGAAGCCATCCAGCGGCACACTTTCACTGCTGTAGGCGCTACCATCTTCACCCAGTCTCCCTTCCGGGTTTGCAAGCTTCAGCGGAATGACTAACTGAGCCGCAATGACATCACTCCCACGCATGCTGCAGGAATGGCACAGTATGCGGTTCCTTCAGAGCGCATGCACCGGGAACGTCACCAGCTGCATCTACAGTAAAATCTCCTAAACGGTGCATGTCTAGGAGATATTTACTGTAACTATAGTAGGCCTTCCCTATAGGTGAAAATCATGCATGGGAGTTTACTCCCACTTCAAACTGGTCTAACCTCAGACACCATCCAACATGTAGCCCACACAGGGTGATGGCTCCAATAGGAGGAACACACGGAAGGAACGCATCAGTGGGTAGGAGGTTTTCTTACAAAAGAACCCAAGTGGTGACAGGCTCCATTTAAAGTCCCATTGGGTACCTAAGAAGTCCCAGTCTCTCAACAGGCTAGAAATAAAGGCCATCCAAACACACCCTTCGCATGCTCTCAGCACAAACTCTACAGCCAGTAATATACTGAATAAAATATGCACTTGTCCACATAGGAGTAATGCGGCCATTTTCTAGGCTAAACCATTCTATATTAAGCCCATCAATCAATGCAGGACTAGGCAGCATTGCTATTTACTAGCCTACAAAATGGCCCTGAAGGGGACAGGTGCTCCACAAGGAGGAGGGGGACAGGGGTTGCAGTTTCCTGTAGCAGCAAAATAAAGATGCATATACAATCAACGCCATCTGCTGACAACGCATGATATTCCTTCCTCTGCCTGAAGAGATCATTTAAAATTCTGTTTCCCATCCACGGCTTGTAAAGGGGACCTGTCAGTTTTAAAATATATTTTGTATCTGAGGCTATTTTCATAGATGGCGCTTTCAGTACAAATCGCAGGTTGAACCCACAAATCTCAACTAAGTTAAAGGCCAACTTCAGCTAAATTTTACTTGATAGCCCAGGAAAGGGTTAGATAGCAACTGAGTATTAAGATTTCCAGTGGTTCCAAGTGATGTTCCCCTTGAGTAGATTTATTCTGTGTTCTTGTCTATGTAACAGGTATCAGACAGAACAAAGAGATAGATCTCCCCAACGACAGGGACACAGTACAGCTGTCAGGTTACACTGCCGCCTCAACCATGGAAAAATAAATCTCTAGGTCAGTCCAAGATAATCCTCCTATGCCAAGCATACATCAGTTTGTTTTGTTTTTTTGATTGAAAAAAATCTAAGCATTTTTTTTTTTTTTTTTTTACTAGGGGTTGTTTGCAGTCGTCCATTCCACAGTTATACTGCTGAGCTAGAGAAGAGTCAGCAGTGGAAAAGAACAAATCTATCTCCAAGGAGGAGATCATCTAGGATGGAGGACTGCAAGCACCAGCAATGAGAAAGAAAAAAGGAACCGTGCACACTCCTTGGACTAGGGAATATTAAGGTTCTTGCAAAGCCAATTGTTGCTCTTTGAGTCCAAGCATGCACTGCAGGCTGCTGCTGGCAAGAACATGCTGGCACTTTCAGAACCCTATTACACTGACGCTTTACAGTAAAGTGCTAACACAAACCACACTACACCACAACATAATGGTGTACATTGTGATGGGCTAAGTTCATTTACAAAAAAAAAAAAAGTTTTTTATTTTTAAAAACCACATTAAAAAGGTAGGCTGCCTTGATGTGCAATAATGCAGCACATGTGTGAATAGGCTCTTAGATCCTCTGTGACTGGGGGATGCATATTTGCTTGTTCCTGCATTACAACTTGTAGGAAATGATCTCAGAATTCAGGCAGACGGATAGGAGTTGCTCAGCAGAGGCAAAGATTCCTTTCTTTACCGTAAACATTTCAGCGCTGCGGGGAGGAGGGGCCAAGAACTTCTTAACACTAATGGCAAGATTTTCTGCAGGAAAAGTTGTTAGGCCTTCATCAGAGCAGCAACCACGGCCTTGGCGTTCAGGCTGCGCAGATCGCAGTAAGTCTGCCCTGTGCCCACAAACACAATGGGCTGCCCTGTGATATACGTCATAGAGATCGCAGCTCCCACCTGCAAGAGGAACAAAGCAAGGCCAATCAGAACCACAAAACACCACATAGAGGAAAATATACACAGATAAATTGTGTCTTACCCACAGCAATACCTAGGAACCATTACCCACGGCTGTACCCAGATACCATTACCCACGGGCCGTACCCCAGCAATACCCAGATACCATTACCCACGGCCGTACCCAGATACCATTACCCACGGCCGTACCCAGATACCATTACCCACGGCCGTACCCAGATACCATTACCCACAGCAATACCCAGATACCATTACTTTCTAAATGGTAGAATCTGGTTTGCTCAAAGATGTGGAAATAATTTGTGGTCTGTGAGTTATAAAATAAGATAAAAAGGTTATTCTTCTTGTATTTTCCTTTTTCGGTTCTTCCTTTGCTCCTGATTGGAATGTAATGATATTTAACCACTTGCCTACCGGGCACTTTTACCCCCTTCCTGCCCAGGCCCAATTTTCAGATTTCAGCGCTGTTGCACTTTAAAAATGACAAATTGTACAGTCATGCAGCATTGTACCCATATGAAATTCTTAATTTTTTTCACACAAATAGAGATTTCTTTTGGCGGTATTTAATTAGCACTGAGTTTTTAATTTTTTGCACTATAAAAACGAAAAAAGACCGAAAATTTTGGAAAAAAAAAAAAAATGCATTTTTGTTTCTGTTATAACATTTTGCACTATAAAAACGAAAAAAGACCAAAAATATTGGAAAAAAAAAATGCATTTTTGTTTCTGTTATAACATTTTGCAACTAAATCTTTCTATACAAATTTAGGCTAAAATGTTTTCTTCTACATGTCTTTGGGGAAAATAACCCAAATCAGTGTTTATTATTTAAATTGTTAGGAAAGTTAGAGTCCACAAACTATGGTATATATCTAAAAATTAATAAATCCTGATGTACTGACAGCTGATCTAATTTCTTGAGGACCAAAAATGCCAGAACAGTACAGATACCTCCAAAATGACCGCTTTTCGGAAAGTAGACAGTCTGAGGTAATTAGTAAGAGCCATAGCGAGTTTTTTGAAGTTGTCATTTTGTGTCATAAATTTTGTGGAAAATGAACAAATTAAAAAAATGTTCTTTATTTTTTTATATACTATTACCAATGCAGTACAAAGTCATCATAACTGGCATGACCGTGATTAGGGACACTGACTGATGATAATAAGAATTACATTTTTTAAAATTTTTTTACTAACTTAAGAAATTTAAAAAATTTTTTTTACAATTTTGTTTTCTACTTCTGTTACCAGAGCAATACAATGTTACCATAGTAACATTGTACTACTCTGGGCAAGTGATCAGGATTTTTTTTTTTTTTTTTTTTTTACGTATTATAATTGCTTATACCAACAAATTATATTGGTATAAGCAAGCGTTTTCACTGAATCAAACAGATTCATTTCAGTAGTTTTGTGGTGATCAGCTGTTATTGGCCATAGCTGGGCTGTGCTTGGTCACAGTGGTCACATGTACAGACTAGGCCAATCACAGCTCACAGCACAGTTGTAAGCAGTGAATGGCATGAAAGGAAGCCATTCATGGTTTACAACTGTCATGGGATCTGCTGTGATTGGTCACAGTGATCATATGACATCCTCCCAGGATAATGGTGTTCCCGCATAGCCATCATGTGCAACAGGCCAGGCAGGAAGGAGTTAAAAAAAATATTTGTATTACATTATTTTAGCTGCAGAGAGGTCATTACTGGGCCTCTGTGCTTCTTTATGCAACACAGGAATATCAAGGCTGGTGAGCAGGGTCAGCAGGGTGCTGTGCATAGCTTCCTGAAAACATCATAGCACCCTGCCCTGGACCCTTTTCAAGAGTCCTCAACACTGATGCTAGCAGTAGGATCAGCTCTAGAATGGAGTTATGCAATTATCAAAATGCCTTGATGGGTGGATGTCTGTCTGGAGGAGAGGGCGTTCCTAGGCGAGCTTCAGTGTTCAGCTCTCTCCTCTATACTTACCGGAGCCTGATCGCATTCCAATGCTGTGCATGAGAGCCTTGACTTTCCGGGGTCTCTCTCCCCTCACTAGCTGAGACACAGCAGAGGGAGCCACTGGTTCCTGCTGCTGACAATCACAGCCAGTGAGGGGGGAGTGGGGGGCAGGGTCGAGCAGCGCTCTGTATGTCCCATGGACATACAGGGCCAGCTCGGGAGGGACACCGCACGAGTGCCCCCAGAGCAAACAGCTTGCTCTTGGTCTACTATGCGGGGGGGCTAGGGTCTGCTCTGTGAAAAACATTGCACAGAGCAGGCAATTATGACACTTCTCTTTTAATTAAAAAAAAAAAAAAAAAAAAAAAAAAAGTGAAACTTTACAACCACTTTAATTTTAGTTTAAAAAAAGGTAAACAAACAAAAAAAAATTACCTTATCATCGATGGTGTCGAATTTGGTGAGCACAATGCCATCAATAAGACGTGGCTTCTCTGTCATAGAGTGGTCAGCCAATGCCTTGTTGAACTTCACCTTTAGAGAAAAGAACCCAACTCAAAATATTTAATAAACATTCATAAAACAAAGAAAAGACAGTGGTATCCTACCAGTCATGGAGCATAGTCTGACAATCTGGGACTCAACAGAAAGAGGAGGTCCTGTTCCCAAGAGATTTTACCTCAAGTTGGACAAATCATCCTAATTCCCCTTCATGAAAAGTTATATTAAAGTAATAAAACTTCAGCATTTACTTAATAAAATGCTAACTTTGATCAGCTCCCTCTTCAGGCCTTCAATTTAGGCACTGGTGACCCACAGCCTATTGGGAAAGCTACATCAAGAGATGCTACAGGCAGATCTCAGAAATGAAATCTTCTGATCTCACAGGATGTTGATTGTACATGCATAGGAGTTGCACGCATACCTCCAAACATGTGATTCAGTGTTCCAATCACCTCCATGGCCACAGGTGTAGCCCCCCGAGGCATGCAGACTGCTTCTACACACATTTGTGAAAGAATGGGTCGCTCTCAGGAGCTCAGTGACTCCAAGCGTGGTACCGTGATAGGTTGCACCTGTGCAATAAGTCCATCCGTGACATTTCCACTGCTAAATATTTCACAGTCAGCTGTCAGTGGGATTATAACAAAGTGGAAGCAACTGGGAACAAGCAACTCAGCCACCAAGTGGTAGGCCACGTAAAAATGATAGAGCGGGGTCAGAGCAGACCAACTGTCTGCAGAGTCAATAGCTAAAGACTTCCAAATTCATGTGGCCTTCAGATTAGCACAACAACAGTGTGTAGAGAGCTTCATGGAATGGGTTTTCATGGCCGAGCAGCTGCATCCAAGCCTTACATCACCATGTGCAATGCAAAAAGTGTCGGATGCAGTGGTGTAAAGCACGCCGCCACTGGACTCTAGAGCAGTGGAGACGTGTTCTCTGGAGTGATGAATGGCGCTTCTCTGTCTGGCAATCTGATGGCCATGTCTGGGTTCAACAGTTGCCAGGAGAACGGTACCTGCCGGACTGCATTGTGCCAAGTGTAAAGTTTGGTGGAGGGGGTAATGTGTGGGGTTTTTTTTCAGGGGAGGGGCTTGGCCCCTTAGTTCCAGTGAAGGGCCCCTTAAGGCATCAGCATATCAAGTGACATTTTGGACAATTTCATGCTCGTTGTGGGAACAGTTTGGGGACGGCCCCTTTCTGTTCCAACATGACTGCATACCAGTGCACAAAGCAAGGTCCATAAAGACATGGATGAGCGAGTTTAGGGTGGAGGAACTTGACTGGCCTATCAGAGTCCTGACCTCATCCCATAGAACACCTTTGGAAAGAATTAGAGCGGAGATTGTGCGAGCAGGCTCTCTCCCCCGACATCAGTGCCTGACCTCACAAATGTGCTTCTGGACAAATGGTCAAACCTTCCCATAGACACCCTCCTAAACCTTGTGGACAGCCTTCCCAGAAGAGTTGAAGCTGTTATAGCTGCAAAGGGCGGGGCCAACTCCATATTGAACCCTACGGACTAAGACTGGGATGCCATTAAAGTTCCTGTGCGTGTAAAGGCATCCCAAGACTTTTGCCAATATAGTGTATGTTTATATTATGCACACACACAAATCATTTTTTGATTATGTATTTGCATTCCTTTAGACTCTGATAAGAAACTAGTCTGCCTATGTTAGGCCCCTCGTTACCGTAAACATTGAACTATAATATGAATGTAAAATTTCAAATGCGTCACATAAAGAGATCAGATATTTGGAAAGATGCTATGTACTGTATATTTTTATGTCAGTTCCCTGCTGCAACAATTATTAATTTTTAACCACTGATCAATAGAAGTGGAAATTTTATAGATGGCAATGTCTTTCCAACAGTGCAATCTCGTGAAATTTCACGATTACATTCCTGAGATCTGCCTGCATCCTCTAGAGGTGTATCACCAGTGCCTACAGTGAAAACCCCGGTAAATAGGAAGCTGATCAAAGCTGGTGCAATATGAATTATATGTTGCAGTTTTATATACTACTCAGAGGTGCATTAGGATGACTGACAAAGAATTGTCCAATTTGGGGCAAAAGGTCCACTTTAAAGCTGAACTCCCAGGAAAAAAACAACACTGTTTCTCACTCACCCCACCCACTCCTAATCAATCTCGCATATCCATCCATGACATCTCTTCCAGCGACTATAAGCTGCTCTCTGTTCAGCCAACCAGTCTTGTTGCCGCCCCATCACATTATGCCCTTCCCACAAAACTAGGTCCAGACCCCTTTGATGGTGTCAACATCACCAAGAAGCAACAGAGTAAGCTACCCTCCCACACTAGAGACCAGAAGAAAGAAGAACTGGGACTCAGGAGGTGAAATGACCATCATTTGAAGGAAGAAATGGTGGCATTACTTTTTATTTAAATACAAATTAAAGGTGGTGGATGGAATGGTTAAATAAAATATATATTTTTTACTGGAGTTACTTGCTAAAAATACTTTTAGATCAGTAACTGCTACATAAGCCATTTTGTAACTGGCTTTTAACCTTGTAAATGTGAGAGATGAGGATTTCCACACCTGCGCATTGTTTTCTTTAGTGGCTAGTTCATTGTTTTTATCCAGACATCACCACAGAACCTGTAGTTATTTTCAGGAATTGTCTGCAATTCCTTGTGTGTGGGTAGATCTCACATCTGTCCTTTAGGGAGGATGTGTTCTCCGATGGTCTTCTGTGCCATAGTGACAGCAGTAAAAATTTTTTTCAAAAGACAAAAAACACAGAGAGGAAGGAGGAGTTTCAGTTTATGCAGATTGTAGAACTCACCAGCTGGTCCACAGCCTCATTGCCAACCAGGGCCTCCCCAACGAACAGTACGAGGTCGGGCATATTGACAGCGATCAGCTTGGCCAGCGCAGTCATCAGAGGTGCATTGTCCTGCATGCGGCCCGCTGTGTCCACCAGCACCACATCAAAGCTCTGGTTCCGAGCTGAAAGCGCAGCAGAAAAGATTTGTTTATTTATCACAGGCATTTATATTGCTAAGAGATGCTTCCATTGATTTATTTAAAAATGGAGATGTGAGGTTCTGTCTATGGGATGTGGTGGATGGCTACATGCCTGTATTTTTAACATATCTGATTATTTTATTGGATTTTAAAATAAACTGGTGTCAAATGTGGTGCACGAGGATGGTAAGCCTTCTCTATTGTGTGTTTAATGCAGCCTCAATATCTGCCAGATCTATGGAAAGGTGCAAGGCCTTCAACGATTTTGTGACATCGATAGGACTAGATTAGTGAATGAGAAGATCATTTAATCCTGTGTCCTACCATTACCCTTCAACACTTGAGCACTGGTAGTGTGTTTGTATTACTTTTCCTCTGGGTTTAAGTTGTAAGCAACACCTGTACATAGGTCAGCTACAGTAAATGGCCAAAAGTTTGTGGACACATTATGACAGATGTGTTCATATTATCACATCTATATGAACTTGTTGGACATACCATTCTAAAACCATGGCCATTAACTAGTTGCCGACCGCCGATTGACGGCTGCACTGCGGCCAGCCAGTTCTGGGTGGACGTCCTCCCCAGAACGCGCGCTCTCCTGCGCGCCCCCGGCAATCTGCGTTATCGCTGTATCCTACGGACACAGCTGATCACGTGATGTTGTAAAAGGCCAATCACAGCGGCCTTTTACCACGTGATCAGCCGTGTCCAATGACACGCTGATCACCGGCAAATGCAATTGCCGGTTCTTGCTGCACTTTCCTCAAGCTGTCATAGCGTGAGGAAAGTACTGCCGAGAACCGGCAGTTGTCAGAGCAGGGATCGACACCGATCATCAGGGCACTGATGATCAGTGCCCTGATGATCGGTGCCCAGCAGTGCCACCCACCAGTTCCGCCCACAAGTGCCCAGCAGTTCCACCCACAAGTGCCGTCCATCAGTAACCAACAGTGCTAGCTCCTCAGTGCCGCCTATCCGTGCCGCCTCATTAGTGCTGCCTATCAGTGCAGCTTCATCAACGCACATCAGTGAAGGAGAAAAATTACCTGTCTGCAAAATTTTAAAATAGAAACAAAGAAACTTTTTTTATTCAAAATGTTTGCTCTTTTTTTTTTGTTTATAGTGCAAAAAGTAAAAACACCCAGCAGCGTATTAAATGCCACCCAAAAGAAAGCTCTATTTGTGAGAAAAAAAAGCACTAAAAATTTCAAATGGGTATAATGTTGCATGACCGTGCAATTGTCATTCAAAGTGCAACGGCACTGAAAGCTGAAAATTGGCCTGGTAAGGAAGGGGGTATAAGTGCCCGGTAGGCAAGTGGTTAATATGGAGTATCTCCATTCCAGGAAGCACTGTAGTCCAAATCTTCCAAAAAGATGCTGCAGCACAGTGCAGGATTGTCCTCTCACAATATTTGGCTTGCCAAACATTGCCAGGAATCTCAGCAAAAGGCTGGTGACGGCACATTTGTCTAGGCATTGCTGGGGAAGGATAAAAGTATATTATGTCATTTTTCTTCCAAAGTGTTTTTTTTTCTTTTTTGTGGTATAATGCAGTGTTTTAGCAAGGGGAAGGGGCCCACATTAAATAAGTGGACCTTGCTATTTTAGTGCAAATTTTTTTTAAGTAGCAGCAGTTCACTTAATAGCTAATGATCACTGAGCATTGTAAGTAAGGTGAAGCTGTGTGTTCATGTTAAGCTAACCAATCAAGTCCTAGCACAAATCCTACATTTTTTTTATTTATTTATTTTTTACATATCCGTGACACATGATTAGATACTCAAGAGAAGAGTTTCACCTCATCTGTGAACATTTACTCTGCCAGTGAAAAAAATCTCTTCCTTTCCTTTTGTAAATCAACACCAATGTTTGGCACCATGTCTCCCTTTATAGTTTTCTTAAAGTGGAATTCCACTCACCCTGTCAAAAAATAAAAGCAGCTAGCTACAAAAACTGTAGCTGCTGACTTTTAGAAAAAACAGCCATTTACCTGTCCCTTGGTCCCTCGGTGTGTCCCCACGCAGCTCGTTTCACTGGCCGTCCTGTATTCCATAAGGCCGGCATCTTCAGTGTGGGCATCCACGAGTAGCGCTGCGCTTCCTGAATGGTCCTGTAGTCTTCTGGGACCTGTCATGTGTCCCAAAAGACTACACGGAGGGAGAGAGGAAGGACACCTTCCGCTTCCGATCATCTAGGTGATCGGACCGGAAGTGGGAGCGGATACCTGTCAAATTCGGGTACCCGCTCCCCAAAGGTGCCAATCCTTAATGGAAAGCGGAGGAGCAGCCCTTAAAGCAGAACTTCCCCTTTTGGGTGGAGTTCCGCTTTAAAGTGATTGTAAACTCTCTCATATACCTAGTGAAGTGACTGGCCTCACGTGATACACAGATATGAAACAAATACTCCTACATAAGCTGCACTTATTTATCTGCAGTCTTCACTACATCCATTCAAAAGGGTTGAATTGTGATACAATCCTTCATATTTTGAAAGTATCACAGAGCAGGGGGTGGAGAGCTGCAGTTAGAGAACATGTACACTGTATGAGAGCTGATTGGAAGAAAGGAACACCCCTCCCTTCACACACCACACAGGAACAAAGGAACTCGCAGCGCTGTGTTCTGAGTAGACAATTACGGTTGTAAAAGCTGGACGCTATGGAAACAAGATAGAATGAAGACTGATTTGAGCTTCGGTGCTGAAGAAGGATCTTATTTGTACCGTGGACAGCCCATAGAACTAATAGATTGATTTTGGAAGGGGTTAAAATGGCTGGTCACTAGAAGCCCATTTGATGAAGCTGCGATGGTCATATTTTGGTCACACAATCAGAAGGGACAAATCACTGGAGAAGGAAATAAATGTTTGGGAAGATCAAAGAAACCAGGCAAAGAGGGAGACCGACTACTAGGTGGTTGGACACATTGACTACAGCTGTGGGTTGGCACTAGAGGATCCTACAAGACTAGCACAAAGCAGATTTCTTTTTAGAGCTCTTATTCACCAAGTCGCTAAGACCCAGGCTTGGGTTGATGGCACTTATTATTGTTATTATTAATAACAATGCATCCTCTTAAGGCAGTACTGATATTTCCCATTCAATGTAAAGGATAACACAGGAGTATGTAGAGCCAGAATGATTCTACAATTATTCTGACTCCTGCTTTGTTTTTATTTATTTTTCCAGCATGATAAAGGCTTTACAATTAAGAAGGGCTGTAGAGTTCCATAAACACTAAAACATTACCAGCATCAACAGCTTACCGTAAGATATGGCCTCCATGGCAATGCCAGCTGCGTCCTTGCCGTACCCCTTCTCATAGAGCTGCACCATGGTGCGCCCCTTGTGCTCTTCCGGAGGGTGCAAGGAATTAAGGCGTCTAGTGTGTGTGCGCAGTTGCTCCACCGCCCCGGCTCGGAATGTGTCACAAGCTGCTATGAGCACGCTAAAACCGTTCTCAATCAGCCAAAAGGAGATCTGTAGGTAGGAGAAGAGATGTCAGAGCGGAAGATTGTCACATCCAATAAGGATCAGGAGATGCCTAAACCATGGTCTACGGCGCTTTATCAGCAACACCACCAAGTGTATGCACTAATCAACCACTAGGAGAAGTTCACTTACTTTGGCCAGGTTGGTAGATTTCCCGACTCCGTTCACCCCACAGAAAGTGATGACATACGGGCGTCGCAGGCGCTGCGTTTCCATCACATCACGCAGGACATCCACACGACGCTTTGGCTGCAAGATCTGCACCAGGGAGTCCTGCAAGGCCTGCTTGACAGCTGAGGTCACAGCTACACAAACACACAGAGGGAATACATCATGGGTCAGCTTACTTGTGTCATACTATAAATGCCGCTTACAGCGCAACCCCTGGCAGATAGAAAAGTACACAAACTAACACCTCTGTATTAATTCATACATCATGGTTTTTTGTTTTTTAATACAAACAAAGCAAGTACCCAAATGTGACTTGGTATCAGCCTCTTGTAGTCCCTGTACAGCAGAGCTCAGACTGAGATTGAGAAGCAGCCCAAGGCGCCAATCAGTTGGCAGATGGAGCATGCTGGTAGGAGGAGTCAGCAGAATGACAAAGAGAAATGAGTTAATCAATTTGCAGTTTCAACTTTCATGTTCCAGTCATGGCCAGGGGAGGAACAAGACCTGTATGTGATACTGAACTGCAGCAGAAGAAAATCAGGTCTCCTGTCCTGCCACACAGGGCTGTGCAGTATAGCAGAGTTGTACAAATCTTTATACTAGATGGAGAGAAATACAACTTCCAAATATGTATCATCTGTGTATTTAGATGACTGCCTGGAGTTCAACCACAGCTTGCAAAATATGAAAGTATAATGAAAAGGCAAAACTTTTTTTCTTTTGTTTTCGATATAG